TCTCTCTCTCTCTCCCCCCCTCTCTCTCTCTCTCCCGATCTCTCTCTCTCTCTCTCTCTCTCTCCCGATCTCTCTCTCCCCCCCCCTCTCTCTCTCTCTCCCCCTCATCGAAATAGGTTCGCGTGTACAACACTCGCACCAACAACACTTCCCTGCTGTTTGGCCATTCCGACGTGGTCCTGGCGCTGGCTTGCCATCGTGCTGGCGGTGACCTCCTGCTGACCGGGTCCAAGGACAAGACGGCCCGGCTGTGGGAGCTCAATGCCGAGACCGGGGAGTTCGCCCCGCGTGCCACGCTTGTCGGGCATACGGATGCCATCACGGCCGTGGCCTTTGGCCGTCGGTCCCGGGGCTTCGCCCTGACGGCCAGCGAGGATCGCACGGTCAAGTGCTGGGATATTGCCTCTGGGGCCAGCACCGCCGCCGCCCGGTACACGGTCATCGCCCACGCCAAGGACATCAACACGCTGGCGGTGGCGCCGAATGACCGGCTCTTTGCCACCGGCTCGCAGGACAAGCAGATCAAGGTCTGGGAAACGGAGACCGGTGCCCTGAGCACCGTCTTCACCGGGCACAAGCGCGGCATCTGGTCGGTGGACTTCTCTCCCACCGAGCGAGTTCTGGCTTCGGCCTCCGGGGATAAAACCATTCGGATTTGGTCGCTGGAGGATGGATCCTGCCTCAAGACCCTGGAGGGCCACACGAACTCCGTGCTTCGCGTGTGCTTCCTGAGCGCCGGTTTGCAAGTGGCTTCAGCCGGGTCGGATGGCCTGGTCAAGCTGTGGACCCTGCGCACCAGTGAGTGCGTGGCTACCATGGACGGTCATGAGGACCGTGTGTGGGCGCTGGCCGTTCGTCGTGGTCGCCATGCCGGCAATGCCGATGCCCCGAAGCACGCGCAGTCCGCCACCGAGGAGGATGGCTGTCAATTGGTGTCCGGCGGTGCGGACGCCGTGATCCAGGTTTGGGACGATTCCACCGAGAGTGAGCGTCAGTCGCGTCGCGAGGCCGAGGAGCAGGCCCTCATGTGGTACGTCGTTGGTTGCTCTTTTTCTGATCCGGCGGTTCCCATTGGACGGGGTGCTCTGTCGATGGGCTTCACCCGTGGCGGTCTTCCTCTTGCTAACGGTCTGTGTCCCACTTATTGGCTGTCTCTCCCCCCCCCCCCCCCCCCCCCCCCCCCCTGGCATGCCATTCCCCACAGTGAGCAAGAGCTCTCGAACTACCTGCATGTCAAGGACTATCCGAAGGCGGTGAACCTGTGCATCCGCCTGGGCCAGCCACGGCGTCTGTACACCATCCTTTCGGATCTGGCCAATGGGGCGGCCATCGCCGGTGCCGAGGACCCGAAGCAGGCCGAGGCCGACCGGTTGAGTATCACCGGGTCGGCTGCCATTGATCGTCTTTTCCAGTCGTACCGTGGTGAGCGGGTGCGTGGGTCTTTGTTGTTGCTCCCTTTGCGATCTTGCCCCTGGCGGGGTTTCTGTTGGTGGTGGTGGGGGGGGGGGGGGGGGGGGCATGTGAACAAAGAAGCCCCCTTCCAGGGTAGTTCCTCCAGCTAACCTGCATCTCCGTGTCAATGCTCGGATGTGTGCCCTCTTCTCCCCTGCATGTGGATGTCTCAACCAGCTTGCCAAGCTCATCTCCTACGTGCGCGAGTGGAACACTCAGGCTCGTTTTTCGCTGATCGCGCAGCGCGTGCTGAACCTGATCCTGCGGGCGCACTCGCCGCGCTTCTTCCTGGACAAGACTAAGGGCTACCATGGTCTGAGCCAGGACACCATCGACGCGCTGTTGGCCTACTCCGAGCGCCATGTCAGCCGCATTGACCGTCTACTGACGCGTTCTTTCCTTGTGGACTTCTCCCTGGACTCGATGGGTGTCTACATCGCGGAGAACCCCCTGCCTGAGGTGACTGAGGAGGAGCCGGAGGCCGATGCTGCTGCCCCGGGTGCTGCTCTTGACCGGCTGCTGGATGCGGCCGACAGTGATGAAGAGTATGCCGGGGATGTGCCGTTGATTGCCCCCTCGCTGGAGGTGGACTCGGACGATGGCGCCAGCTCTTCGGATGACGATGGCGAGGTGGTCTTCAACGATGGCACCGGGGTCAAGCGGCAGGCGTCGACTTCTTCCAAGACTCAGCGCCCGGGGCCTGGCGGCAAGCGGGGGCGCCCGGCCGCCGACAAGGATGCCCGCAAGCGCCGCTCGGTGATGGCCTAAGGGTCCTCCCCTCCGGTCTTTCCCTCTTCCGCCTCCCGCCTCCCCCCCCCATTCCTGTGGTGGAGTGTGCTGCGCCGCGAGCAATGGGAAGGGTTTCCCCCGCTCGGATCATTTGCCTGGTCCTGGTGTGTGCCCTCCTGGGAGGGGGGGGAGGAGGGCGCCCTCAAAACGGGCTTTCCCTGCCCCCCCCCCCCCCCC